GTCTGAAATTTTAGATTACTTTTCTTTTTTTGCTTTTTTTTGGGGGGGGAGGGTTACTAGTGTCTTTGTTACATTTACACGTTTAATTCAAATTAGCGCAAAGAAACAAATGTGATTTCGCTAGGTTTTTCATATTTTTTTTAACCCTACTAGGGTTGTGTATAGTATCTATTATTCATACAACTGGTGGTAACCCCTTTCTATTTATTTCATAAAACAATAGTTATTAGTCAGTATAGGTAAATAAATGAATGTATGTTTAACTTTATATGTATGTGTGTGTATGTCCATGTGTTACCAATCTACTCTTTCATATCCCCTTGAAAAGAAGATGACTTATGACAAGATAAGTTCTTTATCCTGAATAATCAATTCAATGTGTAGACATACACACACACACACACTCATGTATGGTGTAAACGTGTTATTCATAAACGAATATAGATATATTTATTCAGTAGAACAAATATCTAAATGATTTGTTGTGGGGACTGAATGAGTCAGCAGCCTATGATGGAGATGACTAACATGAATAAAATCTAGAAATGATACAAATTTTAGCAAGAAAAAAAACAAACAAACAAACAAACAGTTTTATTTCTTTATTCCCCTGATGTTTGACGGTTATCTGGATTAATGGGTACCTATTGGCTGATACTTATCATTAAATGTAAGATTTCAGGTATTGTTTAGTTGGTAATTGTCTGGTTCCCAAGTATATAGTATCGACAAGATAGAAAAACAGAACACCAGGAAGATCATATCTGAAATCACTACTTACTATTTTTTTTCTGTTATTTGGTAATTTAGTCATCAGACTGTGACCCGTTGTAATTAGATTCTCCTGGGACAACTATTTTTCATAGAATATATGAATATTTTTTAAGTTGTAAGCAGCTGATGAGAACTTAACGAAATAAGATGAATTCATATTATTCTGCATCAATCATTCTTCTTGCTCTCTTTAAGATAATAAACGGAACTATGTGTATGAGATTTTTTAAAATGCGTCTTCTTGCACAGTCATTCAAGCCACTGAATCGTCTGGTGACAATGCACTGCAGAATATGGATATAAATTAATCGACTTAAGTTTTTGGATGAATGTCTCATGTCATGCCGTCGTAAAATCTTTGTGCTTATGTAAACTTCCGCTTTCTCTTAAAAATCCTCAACGCATCACAAAATCTCACATAGAATCATCAAAGTTACTGGTCGAACGTTTGAGAGCAAAAACTAATGCCTTTGGTGAATTAGTCAATAATCTAATCGCGTAAAATTTATCAAGTTTATCCAAAGTCTCCCAAGCAAAATATGCAAGAATTTCCATGTAACTTTGTCAAAGGCTCTGTCAAAGAAACAATTATGCTTTGGTTCTCCGGAAAACCCCGAAAATTCTGTCTAAAACACAAGCATTATTGCTTGGATTAAATCTAAACTAGTCGATATCTCAAACCAATATCTCGTTTCACTCACACCACAGTTTAAGCTTTTATCCAAAGACTACCTAACAGCATTACGAAGTATTAAGCGAAATAATGATATAATGATATTACGGTCAGATAAAGATTCAAGTGTTGTTCTAATGAATGCAACAGATTATAACTCTACGATGAAGTTCATTTTGAGTGACCACAAGAGATTCAAGTTAGTAAAACGTAACAAAGACTTAACTGATTCCATTGAGAAAAGAATCACAAAAGTAATTAGGGATCTTCTGAAGAAGATGATGATCGATAATTCTACTTACAATAACCTATGACCTCGTGGGTTTAGTTTGCCCCACGTGTATGATTTACCAAAAATATTTAAACATGGTAATCCTCTCAGACCTATCCTTTCAATGGTCAATTCACCATACCACAAAGTTGCACGATGATTAGCAGATAAGTTAGAACCAGTTCGTCAACGATTAGCCACCTATACACTAAAGGATTCATTTGTATTTGCTGATAGCAGGAATCACATAAATATTGCTGGTAAGTTTATGGTTCCTTATGATGTGACATCATTGTTTACAAAGATACCACTTCTTGAAACCATAGACATAATTTGTCAGCATTCTGATATCTTACCTCTACCAGTACCAGAATTCAAACGACTATTACTCATGTGTACAAAAGATGTTCAGTTCCAGTTCAACAATATCATATACCGACAAACCAATAGTGTAGCAATGGGAAGTCCGTTAGATCCTGTCCTAGCAGATATTTTCATGACTAATCTCGAAAGAACCAAACTCAAACGAGCGATTGATGAAATGACGTATTACTCGAGGTTTGTTGATGATACCTTCATCGTATTTAATAATAAACAACATGCAAGAAATTTGCTAAAGTTTTTCAATGACGCCTATCTGAATATTCATTTCACTATGGAACATGAAAAAGAAAACAAGTTCCATTTTCTCAATATCGTGATGAAAAGAAGGATGGATGGTACAGTTCAATGTTCAGTTTATAAGAAAGACACATGGAATGGTAGTTATCTTAATTTCAATAGCTTTTGTCCAATCGGTTACAAAAAGGCACTGGTCAAAACACTGTCTCACAGAACAGAAAGAATATGTACTGCCGATGGACTAGAAGAGAAAGTTATGAATGTTAAAAAGTGTTTAAGGAATAACGGATACCCATTGAAATTTATTGAGAAATATGGAAAACGTGAAGATAAAATACCCAAAGAAATTACAGTAAATAAAGAACCTGTTTTTATTCAATTCAAAGGCGATAACGTCACAGGGTCAATCACTATTTCAATGTTCTGAAACCTTCCCTCCCAAACTTTACTTATTCGAAACAAAATTTTATCACCTCATTAACTCTATCGGAATCTTCGCTACATCATGATATACATCTATTCGTCCTTAATCACTCTCTTATGTATAAGTATGTCAATATCTGTGATAACTTTGATTTTCAAATATTTTAGATTATAAGCAGCTGATGAGAACCTAACGAAATCAAATGAATTCATATTATGCTGCATCAATCTTTGTTTTCGCTCTCTTTAGAATCTATATTTCATGTTATTCTATTAATTTAGCCTTATTGTTGGGTGCTGTCCAATCAAATGTACAGTCTGTGTTTAATGTTGGTTCATCTTGAATTGGGTGCACTACCAGACAACTGGATCAAATAGTTAGGAAACACCTCCCTTCGTGGTTAGGAAAAGGTCATGTCAAGACAATATGCAACTCGCTTCTATCAAACTTGATCGATAGCGGTCATGTAGTGGACAGAAACAAGTCATTTAAAGTTATTTATCGTATTCCCACTAGTTTTTCTTATGATGTTTGATTTCGTCTCTTGCACATAGCAGAAGCTACAGGAATTCGAGCCAACAATCCAAGTCTTTGTGTTCACAAGAAATTTATAACACCCCTATCTCTCCCTTGGCCTTGATAAATGAATTTATTTATTTATATTTTTAGAAGGGGTTTTGTGGAGATTTTTTAGAAATTTCAATGGTTGGAACCATGAATCAATTGAAGCTAGACCACCATGGAAAATCTGGAAGCACTGAACGGCCGTCTCACCCTAGTATGGGACTCCTCAGCAGTGTGCATCTATGACCCCAACCTGCGATACCCGAACCCTGTCGGTCTCGCGCGCGAGAGCCTAACCATTAGACCACTGAGTCGGCATCCAACGGTGTTAATGTCTAACTTCAACCAATCCACGAAATTGAGCCACCGTCCACTATTATCTTCATTGAGTTGCTATCTCACAACAGACCTGGTTGAACTCCACCGGTCACTGCTTTTCACTAGAACTCCAGGAAATGCTTCTTGAAGTCAGTCACTAGTGAGCAGATGATTATTAATAGAAGGGGTTTTGTGGAGACTTTTTTTAAAGGAATTTCAATAGTTGAAATCATGAGTCAATTGAAGCTATTAATATCGTTTATTTTTCTTCACACCCTCTCACCCTTTCTCTCTCAAATATACGTTTCACGGTTCAATTATCTGAACACTTCTTATTACGTCATCTTATAATATTTATGAATGTAATTTCAGTGTCTATATTTTTTCTAATCATTGACCTATTTCCGATTGTGTAACATTGATTTAAGCCTTTATTATTCTTATCAAACCTAGTTTAATTCATTTCGTATATGCATATAAATATTCATGTATATTAGAGTAAAGCTTGATGAGGATCTAATCGAAAACAGTATTGTTCGCCTATATATATGTTGTTCTAAATTGTATAATACACGTAGTTATATGTAGCCATATGAGTTTGCAATTTAATAAAAATACTCCTGGAGTTCTAGTGAGAAGCGGTGACCAGAGGAGTTCAACCAGGTCTGTTGTGAGATAGCAACTCACTGAAGACAATGGTGTACGGTGGCGCAACTTCGTGGATTTGTTGGAGTTAGACATCAATACTGTTGGATGCCTGCTCACTGGTCTAGTTGGTTAAGTGCCTGGTGCGAGACTGATAGATCCTGGGTTCGAGTCTCGCGGGGTGCGGGTGAAACGGCTGTCCAGTGCTTCCAAATTTCCCATGATGGTCTAGCTTCAACTGACTCATGATTTCAATCAGTGATAATTCATTAAGTGATTGAGGCTAAGTTTGTCAGCCTTTACAACTGAATACAAAAACCAAATAAGTAGTGTCTGTAAGTAAGCGAACTGACGAATATTGAATGTAATTTGGCGGACTGTAACTATACGTGACATTGTTAATTACCATTCCTTCTTATATCCTTGTATTTGTGTGTGTGTGTGTACAAATAGAGAGTTATCAAAAATAGCAACTGGAAGAGACATTATAAACATAACATGAATAAACTTGTCGTCTGTGTAGGTGCGAAGACAAAACACTCAATATGCAGTTGTACTCTTTGTGTTAAAATTGGACAAACCTAGTCGTATGAACCCTTAGCCGGTATCTTATACATAGACAACCATAATTTTAAAGATTAATAAATTAATAATATTGTATTTATATAATCAAACATGAGAACATATATACCTGGAACAAATATGTTTCCTTAAAAATTGACATATTCAGTAAAAGTACTGGTGATAGTAGTAGTAGTAGTAGTAGTAGTAGTAGTAGTAGTAGTAGTAGTAGTAGTAGTAGTAGTAGTAGTAGTAGTAGTAGTAGTAGTAGTAGTAGTAGTAGTAGTAGTAGTAGTAGTAGTAGTAGTAGTAGTAGTAGTAGTAGTAGTAGTAGTAGTAGTAGTAGTAGTAGTAGTAGTAGTAGTAGTAGTAGTAGTAGTAGTAGTAGTAGTAGTAGTAGTAGTAGTAGTAGTAGTAGTAGTAGTAGTAGTAGTAGTAGTAGTAGTAGTAGTAGTAGTAGTAGTAGTAGTAGTAGTAGTAGTAGTAGTAGTAGTAGTAGTAGTAGTAGTAGTAGTAGTAGTAGTAGTAGTAGTAGTAGTAGTAGTAGTAGTAGTAGTAGTAGTAGTAGTAGTAGTAGTAGTAGTAGTAGTAGTAGTAGTAGTAGTAGTAGTAGTAGTAGTAGTAGTAGTAGTAGTAGTAGTAGTAGTAGTAGTAGTAGTAGTAGTAGTAGTAGTAGTAGTAGTAGTAGTAGTAGTAGTAGTAGTAGTAGTAGTAGTAGTAGTAGTAGTAGTAGTAGTAGTAGTAGTAGTAGTAGTAGTAGTAGTAGTAGTAGTAGTAGTAGTAGTAGTAGTAGTAGTAGTAGTAGTAGTAGTAGTAGTAGTAGTAGTAGTAGTAGTAGTAGTAGTAGTAGTAGTAGTAGTAGTAGTAGTAGTAGTAGTAGTAGTAGTAGTAGTAGTAGTAGTAGTAGTAGTAGTAGTAGTAGTAGTAGTAGTAGTAGTAGTAGTAGTAGTAGTAGTAGTAGTAGTAGTAGTAGTAGTAGTAGTAGTAGTAGTAGTAGTAGTAGTAGTAGTAGTAGTAGTAGTAGTAGTAGTAGTAGTAGTAGTAGTAGTAGTAGTAGTAGTAGTAGTAGTAGTAGTAGTAGTAGTAGTAGTAGTAGTAGTAGTAGTAGTAGTAGTAGTAGTAGTAGTAGTAGTAGTAGTATACAATATAGTTTGCATTTAGATATTCATTAGACTGTATTCAATAGTATTTTTTTATCGTGGATCGTAGATGTTCATTGCTGAGGAGTTCGATAATAGGATGAAACAGCCGTTCAGTCCTTCCAGGTTTTCAATAATGCTCTAACACTAATCGGTTCATGAACCCAATAAAAGCTCGACAATCTCCATAAATCTATTACTTACTTACCTACTTAATTAATCACTTATTTATTTATTTACGTCTGTTACTCCTCATGGAGGAGCATAGGCCACCAAGAAACATTATACATCCAAATCTGTCCTGGATTATCCTTTCTAGTTCTTCCCATTTGTTATTCATACTTTTCACGTTTGATTCCAATTCTCAACTGAATATCTTCTTTGACCTTCCTCTTTTCCATTACTCTTCATCATTCCAAGTTAACGCTCGCACATGATGCATCATGATGGAAAACTTAATCATTTATCATGCGATTTACTGTGTTTTATTTCACCATTAAAAACTCATTCTATTTCGCAGGATTCTTACTTATTTAAATTAATCTACAAGTTTATAATATAATCTTTCTTCCAATTTATTCAACAATTACTTGTTCACTCCTGGTTTAGATCGATCTGACAGGCAACCTCGGTTCATGTCTTCAATGTACGAATAAAGATAGATAGATGTATGGATAGATAGATAGATAGATAGATAGATAGATAGATAGATAGATAGATAGATAGATAGATAGATAGATAGATAGATAGATAGATAGATAGATAGATAGATAGATGTGTGGATAGATAGATAGATAGATAGATAGATAGATAGATAGATGTGTGGATAGATAGATAGATAGATAGATAGATAGATAGATAGATAGATAGATAGATAGATAGATAGATAGATAGATAGATAGATAGATAGATAGATAGATAGATAGATAGATAGATAGATAGATAGATAGATAGATAGATAGATAGATAGATAGATAGATAGATAGATAGATAGATAGATAGATAGATAGATAGATAGATAGATAGATAGATAGATAGATAGATAGATAGATAGATAGATAGATAGATAGATAGATAGATAGATAGATAGATAGATAGATAGATAGATAGATAGATAGATAGATAGATAGATAGATAGATAGATAGATAGATAGATAGATAGATAGATAGATAGATAGATAGATAGATAGATAGATAGATAGATAGATAGATAGATAGATAGATAGATAGATAGATAGATAGATAGATAGATAGATAGATAGATAGATAGATAGATAGATAGATAGATAGATAGATAGATAGATAGATAGATAGATAGATAGATAGATAGATAGATAGATAGATAGATAGATAGATAGATAGATAGATAGATAGATAGATAGATAGATAGATAGATAGATAGATAGATAGATAGATAGATAGATAGATAGATAGATAGATAGATAGATAGATAGATAGATAGATAGATAGATAGATAGATAGATAGATAGATAGATAGATAGATAGATAGATAGATAGATAGATAGATAGATAGATAGATAGATAGATGTGTGGATAGATAGATAGATAGATAGATAGATAGATGTGTGGATAGATAGATAGATAGATAGATAGATAGATAGATGTGTGGATAGGTAGATAGATAGATAGATAGATAGATAGATAGATAGATTTCGATGCGTGCACATATGACATTCAAGAATAATTAAATGCAATCTTGAATATCGACAAGTGATTTCATTACTTTGCATTATTGAACATTCTTAACCGATTATGTAAGTTATAATTGAGAACATTATTGATTTTCAATCAATCTCATTCAGCCACATTCTATGTTAGTTATAATTTAAGATGAATTGATGTCACTAATCAATCTAATGTTTTTCATAATTCCTATAAATCATACAATCAATCTAACATAACGATCAGTGAATACCATCGAGTAAAGGATCTCAATCACGTGACCGGAAATGAACTTCAATCAAACACAAACATTCAATAGTCTAATCAACGTGACCAAAGTAATGTGAATAGTTTCAGACATTTTAATAATACAACTTGTCATCTCGTTTGTTTGTTTTTGTAATCACCATATGTATATGCAAAAACAACAACAAGAAAATAAAGAAAAGAAAGTGAATTCCCGTTGTTCATACTCTTGTTTCTACCAAAAAAAATTTTTAAAAAATCAATAAACTGTTCTATGTTAGGTGGATCAAGGTACTAATCAATTTAGTTTGTCCAGAAATTAGGTTAAAATGTGAATTCACATAATTTAGACAAAGCACCTAGTAGATCAAACATGTTTTGGTTTGAATATTTTTATTTATTACTAATAAAAAAATCAGTAGTTAAAGATGTGTCGCTCAATTTCATGGATTAGTTGGAGTTAGACATGAACACCGTTAAATGCTGGCTCTAGTGATTAAGCGCTCGCTTATGCGACTGATAGGTCCTGGATCCGAATCTGTCGGGTTGAGATTGTGGATGCACACTGCTGAAGATTTCTACACTAGGATGAAATGACTGTCGAGTTTTTGTAGGTTATCCATGGTAGTCTAGCTTCAACTGACTCATGATCTCAACTATTAAAATTACTATACTATCCACAAAACCCTTTTTGATAGTAGTTAAAGAGTAAAATCTTAAAGATTGAATTGTTCTAATGCTTTGAAGAGTGTAGATGAAATTAGTCATATATAGTATAGTGTATGGTGGAACTCACAATGGAAATATATTCACTTCAGACAAACTATATGATCAATAGGAAAAATCTATTTTTGTTCATCTACTTAATAATCAACAACTCAGTATCTGTTAACAAATTTCATAAAAACATGTAACTGTTGCTACGGTACCAACTTTTCTAACTTAATACTCATGATGTTCATATTTCTGGTTTAATAACCTGGTTACATTAGCTTACACTTTAATATGAACTGATGAGATTTTCAAAATAGAACGAAACACCTATTCAATACTACCATTGTTCGTTGTCTAATGTCTAGACTAATGACCACAATGCAACCTGATCAACAGAATATGATCGATGAAAATAATGTAAATAGAGATCCATCTTCAAATAATTAGTGAAATAATGCCACAGTCTCTTAAGGGGTTCGGTAGATAAATAATTCATAAATGAATCTCGTAATAGAATGAAACGGGCCTCGAGTGTTCCTTGATTGTCGATAACATTTGACTTAAGATCATTCTGATAAGAATACTGCACATAAATTAAAGTAACTTGCACAAAACTCCTTCATATCTGTGGACTATAATTTCTCATTATTTACCCCCTCCTCTCTCTTTTATACCTACTCTATTACAACCTACTGTTCAGCCAATACTATTAATAAAGGAAATATAGAATACATCAACAAACGTGATAAGTAAAAAGTACAAATTGATAGTGTGATGGCACGTGTACTAGTTATGATAAGAGTAATAAAGGCTTTAATCAATGTTTCACTGTGAGACATAGATGAAACACTTGGAAAACACAAACATTAAAATGACATTCGTCAATTATGATAAATAAAATTAGAAGGGGTTTGTGGAGATTTTAGAAAAATTTCACTGATTGAAATCATGAGTCAACTGAAGCTAGACCACCATGGAAAACCTGGAAGTACTGGACGACTTATTGTTGATCACCGGTCACCATGGGACTGCATCTTCCAACGTTGCTTTACTGCCTTGTGGATTAGATCTTTAGGTTAAAGGCTCAGAGTGTGGTCTCCTAAGAAAACCACCTACTTCGTTTCGAGCACCTGGGCAGTATCCCAGCTCTTACACCAATCGAATGATTTATGTGGCGCATATCTATTTGGTGCCCCCTTGTACCAATGTTTATATGTTTAAATAAATCAATAAATAGCATAGTTTTAATGCAAATAATAATCCTTATCCATATAGAATATCTACTCAACATCCATTGGCCAGATACCATCAGCAATAGCCTTCTGTGGGAGAGAACAAACCAACTTCCAGCTGAAGAGGAAATTAGGAGAAGACGATGGAAATGGATAGGACATACATTACGCAAATCGTCAAACTGTATCACGAGACAAGCCCTAACTTGGAATCCTGAAGGGAAGCGGAAAAGAGGAAGGCCAAAGAACACATTAAGTCGGATAATAGAAGCAGATATGAAAAGGATGAATTACAATTGGAAGGAGCTGGAAAGGATTGCCCAGGACAGGGTTGGATGGAGAATGCTGGTGAGCGGCCTATGCTCCTTCACGAGGAGTAACAGGCGTAAGTAAGTATAGAATATCGATAATTTATTCTTCAGATTAAAACCAACAAACCATTTTGACAATATCTGCTTTATCTCCATATGGATTAAGAAAATTTTCTTTTATTGATTTTAACCTGTAAATTAACCTAAAACTTTTGTTTGTCCTACTTTAATGATCTTAAGTTTAAACAGTTCCGTCAAATGATAAATTGGATACAACTTTTTCTGATATCATTTACTTTGTTGAAAGTTCTTTTAATGTTCAAATATGGGTCATTTTTATTCTTCATAATCAGAGTATAACAGAAGCTCTCCTGAAGCTAGTCATTGTTGTTCAACTTGTGTCCAATGTGTTTTACTGATCCCAAGCACCTCCAGGTTGTATCTCCTCATTTCTGAAGCAATTTGGAAGACTCTTCCAGTCTCCCAAATTGTACGAGCATTCAATGTACCTCAATAAATGGTTGTTCTGGTTGTCAGAAGGAGCATCAGCCTCGTGGCTTCCGAAGAAACTCGGCTTTGACTATGAGGTGTCATAACTCTTCCAAACGAAGACCTTCTGACTCCCAGGACAGATTTTAAATGGTTTAAATAATTTTTTCTGGTTAGTGTTTTTTTAGCTAGTTAGTTTTCTACGGGGTGGGGTCGCTTACCTCATGCCCGACCGTCCTCCTCTTGTCCGGACTCGGAACCGGCAGTATCCCCAGAGGGACTCCAGGCCGACTTAGTGTTCAAATACCTCTATGCAAATTATAAAACAGATAGGTTTGGTTAT